AACCGGTATCGAAGTGAAGGTGTCGGTATTGGTACCGGAACCGAAAATTTTTGAACAATACCCAGCCCTATACGGGACACATTGTTTACATTTCGACTGGTTAACTAGGGAGTACCAATATGGCTGCCAGTGGCTTCACTTCAACCCTGTCCTACCAATGGGTGATCAGCAGTCCAGTGAACCTGTCCTTAGCAATGTTAGCCCTGGCTGCGTATAGCCTCGGAGGGCCGCTTCTTGCCGCGGTGCTCTCAATTTGAATTTTTTTATCATGCATCAAATCAGTGAATGTTCCATATAGTGAAGCTTAAACTTTAATGCTCTCGCCTCAAATTATCTTAAAATGTACTTTCATAGAACAACAGAAAAGAGAACTTTAAACTTAATACTCTGAGCTCTGTGAGCGCTAACCTGGAAGCTGCTGCTGCAGTGCATGTTGGGACAGCTGTCAATCTGGAGAACGGACAAGTCTGCTCTGATGCATGCTGGGTAAAGAGGGAGGGGCCAGAACAGCATCCGGGGACTTTGTCTTTTCTGGGTCTTCTTGTCCAGGTGAATTATTACAGCACACAAGGATGCACAAGTACACATTGAGAAACAGCCTCAGAGTCTGTATATTCCATCTAGCCATTAATGAATTACTAAATTAATGATTTTAATAATCAGTTAATCCTGATTAATCTTGTTTCAGCCATGGATGCTCTGTGTGTTGTGCTTGAATGAGAAAAGAGTTTTTTCTTTTTTTTTTTTTTTTGTAGGGCGTGCCGGAGTCAGGTTTGCCCACACTGACATCAGAGTACCAGACTTCTCCGACTACAGGCGTCCAGAGGTCCTTGACCCTCACAAGTCCTCCCAAGAGAGCAGCGAATCCAGGAGAGCCTTCTCTTACCTGGTAACCGGAGTTACGGCTGTAGTTGGTGTTTATTCTGCCAAGACTGTGGTGACTCAGTTTATTTCCTCCATGAGTGCCTCAGCTGACGTCTTGGCCATGTCCAAGATCGAGATCAAGCTTGGTGACATCCCCGAAGGGAAGAACATGACCTTCAAGTGGCGCGGCAAACCGCTGTTCGTACGTCATCGCACTGAGAAGGAGATCGAAGCTGAAGCCGCCGTTAGCCTTTCAGAGCTTCGAGACCCTCAGCACGACAAAGACCGAGTCCTCAACCCCAAATGGGTGATTGTTCTTGGTGTGTGCACACATCTGGGCTGCGTACCAATAGCCAATGCTGGAGAGTATGGAGGTTACTACTGCCCCTGTCACGGCTCGCACTATGACGCCTCTGGTCGCATCAGGAAAGGCCCCGCCCCGCTCAACCTGGAGGTCCCATACTACGAGTTTCCAGATGAGGAAACTGTAATTGTGGGATAAACCACAATCACAGACAAATGGCTCAATTCTCTAGACTTCAGTCCTCAGTAGCAACAAAGTTCATCATATCCTCCCTCTGTGGAAATGGGAGCCAAAGTTGCTTTGATGTCTTGACTTTTAAATTCAGTCTAACCAATAAAGTTATTTAAATGAATACCTGGAAGATAAACCATTTCTGTTTATTCCAATCAGATGAAAGTCATGTAAATGTTGGTTAATACCATTTTGTGTTCTAGTCCTTCTGCTGTTGTGTTACTAATAAAAATCTATTTTATTTGACCCTGTGAGTCTGTTTGGAGCCATTTTTACAGAAAGGGCAACATTTGGTGCAGCATGTTTATGGAAAACATAAAAAGTTTCAGAAGTGATGATCAAAATCACATCTGTTTCATGTTGCTGTAGGACTGAATTAAATGTGCAGTCTGATGACATTTAAAACTTAGTTGTTTTACTTTCTTTTCATCAATCAGTGCAGCCTGTTTTTCTTGGTTTTTAATCACAGTTTGGACATTTCTGAAATGTAAACTTCTTGCCATGACTTAAAAATAGCTTATATTTAATATGAATATCAGCTTTCTGTGAAGAGAAGAACATTTCTTGATAATCAGCACCAGTGGATTCATGAGGTTTCATGAAGCATTTTGATATATTTGCATATGACACCTGCTTGACATTTAGAATCACTGCAGGCAGTGATAAATTGACACTGATTTGATGACTGATATGATAAAAGCCATTTTTTGCTTAATGTATTCATATCTATTTAAAATTTTCATTTTTAGATCCACTAGTCCATGCATTTGTTAATTCAAGGCTGGCCTGTTGTAATTCTTATCAGGAAGTCCACAAAATGGAGCCTAGGAGTAGGTTCAACTGAAGAAACTCATTGCTTTCCTACATCCACCTGTGACACAGCTGATCAGCTTTGAACCATACCTCCACGAAAGCCAATCGGCATCCAAAGTTCATCTTAAAAGGTCTCTGATCCACTTGTGTGCTCCTGTGCGCAGGCGTTGGATGCCCTATGACTTCATTCAGATGACACGACGGTTTCAACCCCCCTCCAGCCCCTCCAATCTCCACCACCAGTTTCAGGAGTGAGGGGGAAATGGACATGTTCTTCGCCCCTGTTGATGCATAACTATCAAAATTAAGTGCTTTGTTTCCTGCTGAGGTCTGAGCGCCAAAAACCAAGTTATTATATCTATACATTTTTCCTAATAGTCTTTTCTCTTTTTTCAGATTGAACTGTAGTTAAAAGCCTTCAGCTGATCCAAAGTGCTGCAGCCAGAGTTCTGATGAAAATGAAAAAGAGAGATCATATCTCTCCTATCCTGGCTTCTCTTCATTGGCTTCCTGTTAAATCCAGAATAGAATTTAAAATCCTCCTTCTCACATATAAAGCCTTAAATGGCCAAGCTCCATCTGATATCAGAGATCTGATTGTTCCTTATGTTCCTAACAGAGCACTTCGCTCTCAATCTGTAGGTTTACTAGTGGTTCCTAGAATTTCTAAAAGAATGGGAGGCAGATCTTTTAGTTATCAGGCTCCTCTCCTGTGGAACCAACTACCAGTTTTAGTCCGTGAGGCAGACACCCTGTCTACTGTTAAGGCTAGGCTTAAAACTTTCCTTTTTGATAAAGCTTATAGTTAAGAGTGGCTCAGGTTATCCTGAGCTATCTCTGTAGTTATGCTACTATAGGCTTAGACTGCTGGAGGACATAGGGACCCCTTTTTCATCATTCTGCTTCATTCTCTCTCTATTCTCCCACTCTGCAGAATCCATTTATTATTCCTTACTGAACGGACTTTTCCTTTAAATCCTTAACTGTATTTAAGTTACTTTAAATCTCCTTTATTTTCTACTGTCTAATATATATCTGGATACATTGTATATAATTTGTTAACATTTTTTCCCCTGTTTACCTTCTGTTGTTTATAGGAGCTGATGTCACAAGTGAATTGTTCTCCATTACGAGATCAATAAAGTTCGATGCAATCTAATTTATAATATCTGTTGTTGTTTTTTGACACCTTCTTATAAAAAGGCAGCCTTAGCTTTTATGTCGTTTATACATTTTTCTTTTGTTTCCTTAAAGTTTCTAATGCTATAATGATCAGAATTATGTTAGAGCTCTAAAACCTTGAACTCTTACAGGCTGCAATAGGCATGTGTGCCAGTAGGGTGCGGTAGAGAGACCAAGGAATGAGACCGGAAGTCTGCTGCCTCTTTGTTGTGTTTCTCCTCGGTTAAATATCCGTGATGGAGCAGAACCATTCCAGCATGTATTCAGTAAAGCATCTGAGAGAGTTCATCAGCGAGCGGCTAACTGCTGCTGCGGAGGAAATCTTTGGGGTGTTTGAGAGAACCATTGAGCAGCAGATGGACCATCAGCGCAGACTGCTGGATAGCAGCTTCCAGGAAACAGGTCAGGAGGTCCGCAGAGATGCTTCAGGCTGGAGGACACTGGCCGGTGTGACAGATTAACTGGTGACTAGATTAACTGGTTAGAATCTATGCGCACCGCAGATGTTACTGAAGCTTAGGTGGCTGTTCGCCAAAACATCAACTGACATATCTAATGAATGGATTTCTGTTTTGATGTTCAGATTAGAATGATGTGGCAAAGAACTTGTATCCACAAATATTTTAGCCATCTGATATAATCAATTCCCCCACAAGATGGGGGGGGGAAAAATAAACAAATCCTGTGAATTTTGAAATGGTCATTATTTTTTTAATATTATGTTTGAAACATTTATTATTTTATATTTTAAAATCCAAAATAGTTCAAATAAATCTGACTGTTGGTTTGATGATCTTTATGAAATTTATTTTCAGTTCTCAAAATGTCTGCAGTAGCATTGCACCAGAGATTTGGTTTGAACTTTTCTTGGAATATTTGTAAAATGTTAGATAAACATTTAAATAGAAAATACATTTCATTAAGATCATCAAAGGGGGACAGATTATATCAGGTGGATAAAATATATGATTTCCTTCTCACAACTCTGGCAAATAATGATTAAACGTCCCCAAATCCACAGAGTTTGTTGTTGATGAAGAGAGGAATAAACACAGTTAAAGACTTGCAGGGGAATTAATTTCTTCCCATGTTATGGAGGGGATTTTGATTATTTCAGGCAGGTGGAATATTCATTCTCTCCTCTACTCCTCCCATGTCTTTTGCAAATTCTCAAAAATCATTATGTGTGATATCATGTGGTATACTAGGAATGTCATTAATCCAGTAAATTTGTTTACAGGCTAATCAATATATTAATCATGCCTTGGACGTTGAACAAAAGGTGCTAATTTTTAAGACATGCCACAAAACCATTGCTGCAAAATGTAGCAGTAGAAATTAATTCTAAAAAGTAATCGGCTGCAAAATGAAGAATGTTGTTAACTCCACATGTCTCCCTGTGCACTAATTAAAACGTTCAATAAATCAGCTGAGAAGGTGCTTGGCTCCATCCTATACCAGAGAAAAGGGAAGAGATGGAATCACAGATGCTATATATTAGGTTATTTAAATGTTTTTAGGTCTTCTAACACCTGTGATGTGATGCGGGCTGTTCAGAGGTTCTGCAGGCGTTTTTTAAACTTGCCAATGTTCTCAATTTTAAAACTTTGTGCTTCTTTGAAATTCCCAGCAGGTAAAGATCAATGCTCATAGTTTGGAGATTGGCTGTAGGGCCTTCAAAGGTATCCAGGCAGAAGACCCCCAGTGTTCTATCAAACTAGTCCTATAGTCCCTCTATTACAGATGGAGTAATGTAATTAAAGTAATCCCTTCCTGGGATTATTAAAGTATTTCTGATTCCTGGTTGATGGGACAGGTGTTGTGAATGAAACAGTGCCCAGATTGAATGAGCTCCTGTGTGTCGCTGAATGTGTCCAATGATGACTGAAAGACATCTTCTGCCTCCATTTATCTGTTTACTAGTCTGTTGAATTCATGTTAATGTGGATTTAAAGAGGTTTCAATTAGTGGGAGAAATTGCTGCAGGGAATATAAAAAAAAGTCTGATCAACCAAAACTTTTTGTTAACCCCCCCCCCCCATGCAGTACCTCTGTGGACCCCCTGTTGAAGACCTTCTCTGTAGGATATCTGTTTAAAAGGATTATCAAATGCAGTAGTTTCCAGTTTCAGCTGGACTGTTTACTCTGGTTACCTTGGCAACACATCACAACTAAAGATGTGGGATTTCCCTAAAAGTAGCCAATTACAGACGTGGTGCTTTTGGTTTGGGCAACGCCTTTAAAGCAACCAAAGTTGACGGGATTGAGATGCAAGGAAATGAAAGCTCCCTGTTCCTTGGTTTTGGGCCCATAGAAACCAAACCTGCTTCCCTCAGACCAAAGGAACAGGCATTTGTCTTTGTGACACATCAGGATCCCGTGATGCTCTATTGCCCATCAAACAGATTAAACATGCTGCTAATGAGCATCTATATGAAGTAAAGGAGTGGTTATTGTGTGTAGGGCTTTTTGGCAGAATCCTGGTGCCGATCAGTCCACCTTGCCTCCCACACCAGGTTTATATTAATCCTATCTGTTAAAAGAGCTGGCAGCTTTTTCTCTCTGTTGTCCTTGATTGTCTCCAGACTATCTCCAGGCAGTATTGCACCAAGACTATAGAAGCAGTCCTCTAGGGTGAATACTCATTGGAAACCAGTTATAAGCATGTGGCCTAGTTGTGAACCAATCACACCAGGTTTGACCTCTCAACCAGTTTTTTTTTTCTTTGGGCAGTGGTCAGGGCAGGGGTCGGCAACCCGCAGCTCCAGAGCCGCATACGGCTCTATAGCCCCCCCCCCCTCCCCCTCTTGCGGCTCCCTGTAGCTTTTTCAAAACTTTATGAAAATTTGTTTGTTTTGCTTATTCTAATATGGTTTGCAGGAGGTCAAACATACATTCATTATGTTTTCCAATGCTGTAAACATTTGTAGAATAAATTATTTTAATCAATATATGTAAACATTTATTTCAAAGATAATAATGTGTCTTAGCCATAGAGATCAGTGGTCAAAGCGTGCAACACATGTGTCACATGGCAAAGAAAGCGGCGGGTGTGTCTAGGGCCATGGATCCCAAAGGGGAAAAAGGAGAATCAGACCTGATGAGAACAGGAGATTCAAAGAAGAATGGAGCAAATCATTTGCTTTCATTATCAATGCACAAGGATAGCCTTTAGTTTTGCTTTGGCACGAGAATTTGTCAAATAATAAAAATAGTAATTTGGAAAGGCATTTCCAGGAAAGGCTAAATATGCAGCTGAACTTCTGGATAAATTAGAGGATAACAAAGATTTAATAAATGGATTGCATCTCCAATACTGCTGCTAGATTTGTTTCAAGCATGAACAAACCTTGGATCAACCTACCTGATTGATCCATGATCCATGGATCATGGATCAATCAGGTAGCGCTCTGATGCAGGTATGTGAATTTTTTCAATTTTTCCCCCAAATCCTTAAAATAAAAATAACACCAAGGAACGCTGGTGATGGAGGATGTGGAATATCGGGGTTAGAGATGCTCTGCTCTGATGGAGGTCAGTTCCTGCTTGGTTCCTCATGACTGAATCAGCTCCTCCAAAAGAAACACGTCCACCATAGAAAGAGATTCCTTTATCCTGTTTCTATCATTTCATCAATGCAACAAAACTTAAACTGAAAGGCGGTGAGGCGTCGAGCGGTGAATTCCATGCAGAGAGGACGTTCACTGCTCCTCCCTCACCTCTTGCTACTATGTGAGATTTGCTCCAGGATTAACATTTAATCATGAATGTTTATTATATATTTAAGGCAGCATAGTCCTTTTTTATAGAGGGCTAAGACACTTAGAGCTCATGTTGCTATACGAGGCTTATATAAGGCTTTTACATTTTTGCAGCTCCAGACAGATTTGTTTTTTTGCTCCAAAATGGCTCTTTGAGCAGTTTGGGTTGCCGACCGCTGGGTGAGGGCAAAGGCTTGGGATCCTGAGGTTCTGAGTTCGGACCCACAGACTGCCACTCTGGGTCTCTGAGCAAACTGCTCCCGGGGCACCGGACAATGGCAGCCCACCGCTCCCCAAAGGGATGGGTTAAAAGCAGAGCATGAATTTCGTTTCTTTGTGACACGTTAATGACAGTAAAGTTGAATTCTATTGTATTTTGTTCTATTCTTATTCTGACTGGTACCTTAAGCCGGGCATACACTGTATGATTTTTTTTGTGCGTTATTTGTGCCGGTTTTCCAGTTGTGCAAGAATTTTTTCAATCGTAATCATTTAAGTCTTGAGGAAAAGACAGTCTAAATCAACTCTTTGGTCTTTGAAATAAACTACCAACAAGTGCATTTTCGGTTTTCAGCCACCAGACTTGTAAAGCCGGGCATACACTGTACGATTTTTGCCCTTTTCAGGCAGACTCTCCAGTCATGCAAGAATTTTTTGATTCAGCCGACTTTCAGTCTCATCGTGCATCCCATAGTGCACAGAGGGTAACGAGGGGCTATTAGCCTCTCATGACCACCTCCTGATCACCAATCTTAAGGTGGAGAGAAAATCAAACATGTTTGAAATTCAGTCGGCTGTCATAAGGTGGTTCTGGATAAATCCTGCTGTTAAGGCAGAGCTATGAGCTGATTTATCAGAACCTCCAACACTGAGCATGTCTAAACAATTAAGTTGTTCTTCTTCTTCCAGATAGACGAGTCTGACCAGCGCCATCAGTCCAACATGTTGTTTTTAGACGTACAATGTGAGCAGGTAGATGACATCAGTGGGTCGGGTTGCACAGTGTGAGAACATACATTGTGAGCTGGAAGCTTAAATCCTGTGGTGTCGTCGCACAGTTTGAGCTGTAGCTCCGTGCAGCATTTGAACATTTCACAGTGCTTTAGAGGCATGAGATTATTTCTTCCTCTGTTGGCTCTAGGCGAGCCGTGGCTCTGTATAACTGCTGTACATTAAACCCTGCTGCAGCTTTTTAAATGACATGTTTTCCACAGTGGGGTCCTCCTCTGTGCACTAAAGGCTCTCCTGTATATTTTCAGATGTTCAGCAGTGTTTTCTCACAAAGATGGAGTCCCTCGGGGACCAGCAGATCAGCAAGCAGATGGAGAACTTCAGTGAAGACCAACTGGAAGCGGTACCTCCAGAGATTAAAGAGGAGCAGGAGGAGCTGTGGGCCGATGAGGGAGATGCTCAGATGGTACTGAAGCAGGAAGCTGATGTCCAAATGGTGACACCGATGTTTGAGGAAGGAGATCAGAGTGAGTCTAAGTCACACGGAGATCAGTTCCACCCTAAGAGACCAGATCAGGAGGTCAGCTGGCCTGAAGACTTTGAAGCAGCCAGAAACACAGAGCAGAAGGAGAGATGGAGCGGAAAGCAGATGGACAGCTGTCTCCTCGCAAAGGGTGATGGAAGCAGCTCCCTGCAGAGTGGTGGAAAAACGACCAAGACCTCAGGAACGACTCTCTACACAATCCACACAGGTCAGACCCTTTGGAACCAAACATGTCTCTAATGTGAAACCTGTGGGAAATGTTTAATGCAGGGCTCCCACTGATCCTTAACAAGTCTTAAAGGGCGTTGAATTCTTCAATATAAAACTAAGGCCTTCATTTGTATTAAAATGTCTTAAATCAGTCTTTCACAGATGTTAAAATTGTTACCACATCATAAATAAGATTTTATTTTTGTAATCCATTTAAAACATTGAAATAAATGACAATATTTTTTTTTACATTTACAAAACGGCTCGCTGGAACCATTATTGGTTCCATCCTGATAAAACGAGGCTGCATGTGGACCTGGGGGTGATGCGCCGCTAACGTTTTACTTGGACGACAAAGTTTAAATTGAATAAAAACTGTCTATCCAGCCAAGAGTTTTCTGCATGGCTAAAATTAGGACCAGGGAATGAAGCATTATGGGAATCAAGGCTGATAATGTTTGGCGGTTGGCCTACAATGAAAGCAGTGCTATTAAAGGGAAACGCCATTTTTTTTTTTACAGAGGAAGACGTTACTTGGATTACAAAACCGGATATCTTTGGAACGGCTCCAAATGACACAAAACTCATTTGGGTGAGCAGAACATGATGGAATAACGGAAAATCAAGGACCCAATGTAAAAAACAAAAAAAAAAAACGGCGTTCCCCGTTTAAGGTCTTTGAGTAGGGAACACAACATTGTTTAATTCAGTTCAGTAGTTGTCAAAAATGAATGTGTTATTTGTGTGTTGTTTTAGTTTTCTACCTCTATGGAAAGTTTTTCACAAAATGAAACATTTCCACTGGGCCAGAAAAAAAAGGGTTTATGTTAAAATAAACATTTAGGTAAGTTTGTAGCAACAATACATGCGCTTCTTTTCCCTTCTCACAAGTGAGGTGGTGTTTCCAGGTGGTGAGGTTTTCCTTAATGTGCACCCAGAGGAATTTAGTGCTGCTGACCACCTCTACAGCTCAGCTGTTGAGCTCCACAAATCTGTATTCAAATCTACAAAAGTGAACTGAGATTTCCAAATCTGTATTCAGATTTACAAATCTGTAGTATGATTTGCAAACATGTAGATCAATCAGTAAGCACACAGAGACACTTATGGCTGAAGTATTTTCAGTTCAAGGCCCAGAAATACAGACCACTCATTGGTTACAAGTCCAGCGGTTTCTCGGTTGGCTCTCTTTACACACGTGATTTTTGCTGCACTTCTGCCGTGTGAGATCCACAAATGCGTAAAGGATTTGTATCTGTAATATCTGGATTTGCTGCCCTGAGCGCAGGCTCACAGGCTGCCTCTTCCTGCTTTGAGAGTTAGGCACAACTTGCTGCACCTACACCCACATACCATCAGGTGGCGTTGTTGTACTGTACGTGACATTACTGCAGCAGGGTCGAGTTCAATTCACCAGCAGCTAAGCAGCAGAGACTGTCACCATAGTGACTGTGTAGTCAGTGTTGCCAACTCCTCAGTAAGGAAAGTAGCTATTGGCTGTGCTATAAATTGCTGAATGATGTCATTGCTAAATTTGCATAATCTGACTCATGATGTGCATGTTATTGGCGCTGTGGGAGAAATAACATTGTTAGAGATACAAAGTCAGTAAAAACACTGAATATATAGAGCTACCTTTTCTGTCCATTAATGTTTATTTTTTATTTTATTTATTTATTTATTTTTAAATAAATTTTATTACAAAACTAACTCTCCGCCTTTACCCGGGCTTGGGACCGGCAAAATGAACCATGGCAGAGTTACAATTTATTTTATTTTTTTACTTTTTTCCGCCTTGTGTTCCACTAGGGAGCCAACTACTCATGGTAGAACATGAACATTTTGAGCCATAACATTTTTTACATGACATTAACAATATAAATGGAACAAAAAAAAATCAACAAAGAATCAATGACAATGTGAGCAAATAATGGTAATTATTATATTTAAACTAATAAGATTTTTCTCCACACACACAGACTGTGCTTGCCTGCTCACAGTGGATCATCATGTTGGTCAAGCTTCTCTATGGCAGCTTCAGCAACTGAGGGATCTGACTCCAATGTGATCAACCTGCGCCGTCAATCCCAGCGCATATGCACAGTTCATTTGCAGTCTGGAAGCTGAGGGTAAACATGCTGTTGCTCTGACTGCAGCGATGAGAGGGACTCCTGTGGAAGCAGGAGGACGGGGTTGTGATATGGCAAGCCAAGAATGCCACTATTCGCATCTAATTATCACGTTAAGATGAAATTCACCCGCTAAAAGTACCCGTTTTTCCGAAATTTCTGTGCTTTTTTCACCGTCTTTTACCAACAAGCGCCACTTTTTACGTCTGTCATAATGGTACCGCAAGACTCGAAATTTCTAGACTCTACAACGCGGGTTAAATATGAGCATTTTCCTAATATAATATTTTCCCTCCTTCTTTTCTGACAGCCAATGCATTTGAACTGGTTGCATCCAATCGCTGCCAAAGTTCACTGCATCGTTCTTTCACGAAGCCTTATTTTTAGGAATATATCCACTCCATGCTCTTTGCTGCCATCTTGAATCCATTTCCATGCCTATCATCGACGTGTCGCTAACTAATGTTTTGTGGTTTAAAGGTATTGACTGGAACAGTTCACTAGTGTTTTCAACTGAGAAGTGGTGCAGTGGTTGAAGTGGCAGAATACAAAGCAAACTTTTTTCTTCAATACAGGTTCAAATCCGGCTGAGGCAGTTTGACTTTTCCCTTTATATTTTCTCTTGTCTCTAACCAAGCCCGTTTTGTAGTTTTTGCTTTTTTTAAAGAATATAATCCATAAATGTAGGCTACTTCTCTGTTGTTTCTGATCCATCGGCATGCATTCTTTCATGTAAAAAGTTTTACATTGTGCTAATAGAGATGTGAGTAACCAACGTTAGGATTTCTTTTCTAAAACTAAAAATTCTGAGTCAGACAGGATTTCTGAAAACTGCTGTTAAAATGAACAAAGACTGTAAACTATCAACATTTCTGATTCCCTTTTATCAATATTTATTTGGTTTTCATTTTTGACGGCAGTTCAGGTATAAATAACAGCTGTTATTTCTTTTGTAGAACATAACATTTTTTGTTTTCCACATAAAAATAGTTCTATTTAATTGACTTCTACTTCTAGAAATAGGATAAAGACAAACAGAAGAACTCTATTTACACTGATTCTATTTTTCTAGATTTCCACACGGTCCATAGTAAATCAGTACAAACATTAACTTCTGGTAAATAATGCTTAAATCTGGCTGTTTGTCTTGGATACTTTTACATTACAGATAAGATAGTGTTATATTGTCTTTTATAGTTGATATTGTCTTTTATACGTGATTTATCTTTAAAAGAAAACAGGATAAATCCACATATAACAGACATATTTAGACAATATTTGGTTATATAAACACTGTCTTAGTCGCTGGTTAGTTTAAATGCAAACCTTTTCAAAGCGGAAAATGTTGTGTGATTCAAAGTAAACGTTGAAAGAAAACACGGGACAACCAGCGTACGTTTCTGTTCAACTGTATTGAATAACTGACGTTCTGATACAATGCTCTGCCTTACATACCAAGGGACTCAGGTTCCCTCCAGTGGTCACATTTGGTATTACACATGCAGGTCTTATCACATAAACACTGGTTAACATCACAGAAAAAAGTCCTAATTCCAAATTGGTCAGAGCCAGTGATGCTTTAAACATTGATAAACAGCATCTAGTGAGTGTAGTGCTTATAAGATTTGTATAAATGTAGCAAGAAATGCTGCTGTTCTCTTAAAAAAAGATGTCCTAATGCTCACATTAAGCATAAAAAAAGAGCATGCATATTTTTGCAAAGGATCAATGAAACTGAAGACCAATAGTGTCCCTACCAAAGCTACGACCTTGAGTACACATAATTGAGACACATCTTACCTATATATAATATCTAGGAGAGGACCTAGTTGCTGCTCTGCCAGGAGCCTACTCGTTGTATGGCGCCATGTGCCGACTGAAAGAACTGTAGACTGAAAGAACATTCATGTGATGTGGTTAAAAAATGTATCATTCCTCAAAACTACAAAAAGACAGAAACATGGTGAAAAAAAAAAAAAAATCCTATATATTTAGGAGAGAGAGAACATGATCTATGGGGTAAGTGTTTTATCATTGCACTACTGACACTTTTAATCAGAAATGTTCCTGTTACATTTAATTGTAACAGCAGTTGCTCCATGGCTGTAGAAAGCATTATGAGCTTGGCAAAAGGTTAGTGATATGCAGGAAATATACAGAGAACAAGTCAGAAAGACACATTTTCTGGAAGGACAATGCAGTGAACTTTGGCAACAATGCCACACAGAGCTCTGTGCAGAACTTTCCACAAAGCAGATCTGGGCTGAACTATCTTGGTCTGGCTGCCTGGATCAGCAATTGGATGCAACCAGTTCAAATGCATTGGCTGTCAGAAAAGAAGGAAGGATATTATTATCATATTAGGAAAATGCGCATATTTGATACGCATTGTCTTGGTAAGAATGCGCGTCAAGAACACCCGTCTTGCGGTACCATCAAGACAGACATAAAAAGCGGCGCTTGTTGGTAAAAGACAGCGAAAAAATCTGTGAAATTTCAGAAAAACGGGTGCTTTAAGCAGGCAAATTTCAATCTTAACGTGAGCTGTTGCAGCTCTGAAATATGGCACAGCTGGTGGCTAAAGGCTTCCTGGCAGCTTCTCGCTTCATCCTTCTTTATTCATGGGAAGTTATTTTGCGTCTTCTTTGTTCAACATGCTTGCGCCCCTGTTGACTATTTGCCATGAACCACTTGATTGTGCGATGATCCAGCTTCAAAAGCTTGGTAATTTCCAAACTGCTTCACCGCTTTGAAAGACATCTGAGAATTTTTGACTTTTCAGTCTGTCAAATCTTTTTTCTGACCCATTTTGCCAAAGGAAAGGAAGTTGCCTAATAATTAAGCACACCTTATATAGGGTGTTGATGTCATTAGGCCACACCCCTTCTTATTACAGTGATGCACACCACCTGATTTACTGAATTAGTAGTTGGTGTTCAAGCTTATACAGCTTGGAGTAGGACAACATGTATGAAAAGGATGATGTGGTTGAAATAGAGCCTAGAAGTTAAACTGAAGAAACTCTTTGCTTTCCCTCACCCACCTGCAACACAGCCAATCAGCTTTGAACTACACCTCCACGAAAGCCAATCGGCATCCAAAGCTCATCTTAAAAGGCCTCTGATACGCACCTGTCTGCTCCTGTGCGCGGGCGATGGATGCGCTGTGACTTCATTCAGATGACATCGTTTCAACCCCCCCTCCAGCCCCTCCACCATTGTAGCTAAAGCTTAATCAGAGCGTCATTCCTCGCAGACCCTTACAGCGTTCCCTGTCTCATCTTAACCGCTCCGGCGGAAGATCGTCTTGTATAGCCTGGTTCTGCCAGAGGTTTCTTCCCAATGGGGAGTTTTTCCTCACCACTGTCGCTTCATGCTTGCTCATCATGGACAGGTTCTCTCACCTGTTATCCAAGCTGGACTTCCATCTTCAAGGTCCCTGAGTGAAGCTCTAGTATCAGCTCATGCAGTCCGCTGGATCTCCCCATAAAGCTCAGCAGACCGTCTCTCCAACCAGCAGTCTACAGACTGACCAACTACATCTATCTCCACTCCACTAACAGTTTCAGGCCTGGGGGGAAACAGATCTGTTCTTTGCTCCTGTTTATGCATATCTATCAAAATTAAGCTCTATGTTTCCTGCCGAGGTCTGAGCGCCAAAGACAAAGTAATTGTTTCAATAAATTCCTCCTAATGGTCTTTTCTCTTTGTGTGAGTTTTTCCAGATTGAAATACTAATTTGCCTAATAATTCTGCACGCCGTGTAAAAAAAGAAAAAAAAAATTTTAAGAAAGGGATTTGAATCTGAAAATATAAAATCTAAAACCAAAAAAAAGAAAAAGTGTAATTAAAATACTAAAGTGAATTATGAATTTTTTCAAGCTGAGGGAAAGAATTTAGAATAAATTCTTATTATTTAATGTTTACTTTTTAGTTTCTCAGATTATACGGTAAAAATTGGAAATTCAATGTCAACTTATGTTTCTTCTGTTATTCTTTTAGTTTCATCTAAGATGTATAAGTTTACAAACATTTTGACCCCTTTCTGACTCCATAGAATACTTTTCCTGTCAGCTTGGGGCGCAGCTCTGCTATACGTTGGTGTTGCAGAGGAGCTACTGCACATGTACAACTTTGAATGAGAATCAATGGGCAGAGAGGGTGGAAATATGTCACCAATCCCACAAAAAAGGCAATGATGCTTTACTAATCATTAAAGGTCAAATATTGCACATCTAAAAATTATATATGGATATATTTCGAAATATTTTAAATGTTAAATGTAAAATGACAACAGTGTCCAAATTTATGCACATGCCTAATTTTGTTAAAACAATTATTGCACACTTCCTGTAAATGGTATAAACTTCGTTTCATCTCTCAAATATCACTGTGTTTGTCTCCTATATGATATATTTAACTATTTTTTTTAATTCCTAAGAACCAACGATTTATGAAGGAAAATCATGGAAATTAACAAGGTTGCCCAAACTTTTGCAGACCACTGTAAATGACATTTGAAATGTCATTTCACAGATACTGAACACATTTTTTGCACAAACCTGCTGTAAAGACCTTGGTTTTAGCGTTGACACTTAAAGCTAACTCCAAAGCTAACTTTATGCTAACTGTCTCTGCAGAGATAGACTAACACTAACCTCTCATTCATGCTTAGAATATGTAAAGGAATTTTATCTCTTTATTGAGGGTTGCATGAATTATAGAGTATTTATCATTTTTATCATCCTGATGCTATGCTGCTTCCCACCTGCATACTCTCTCATTTACTTCTTGGCTTTTGTTTTTACCTCCAGATTTCCCCAACCATTTTCTCTGGAAAGAGGCCAAGATTCTTGAAGAGCAGGAGGGACACGCTGGTCGGGATGAAGAGGAACCAGAACCTCTTGAGATTAAAGAGGAGCAGGACCCCTGCTTCAGAACTGATACTGATCAGCTGGCAGTGAAGCAGGAGATCAATAGCTTCATGGTGACCTCTGATTATGAGGAAACAGAGCATAATGAGTCAGGACCAAACAGGAACCAACCCTGTTCTAACTCATCCACTGCAACTGAGAGCAAGTATCTGGAGGGAACCCTGTCTGAAGAGTCTGGATCAAGTAGAAATTGGAAAAATGAAAATAATATCGCAGACAACCTCACTGGATTAGACAGTCTCTGCAGTTCTGACCTGAGTAATAAATCCTTGAAATGCGGCGTCTGCGGAAAAACTTTTAGCAGCAATTTCAAAATGCGAAAACATTACAGGATCCACACAGGGGAGAAACCATATTCCTGTAAGATCTGCAGGAAAGCTTTCAGAGAAAGCAAATATCTGTCAGTCCACATGAGAACTCACACAGGGGAAAAGCCGTATTCATGTGAAACCTGTGGGAAAAGTTTCAGTCAAAACAGCCATTTAAGTTCTCACAAGAGAACCCACACAGGTGAGAAGCCACATCCCTGCAGCACCTGTGGAAGAAGATTCGCAGAAGCATCTGCTCTTAGAAACCACATGCTCACCCACACTGGAGAAAAGCCATTTTCCTGTCATATTTGTGGGAAAATATTGAGGTACAGCAGCAGCTTGTCTGCTCACATGAAAATCCACACCGGCGAGAAACCATTTGCATGTAAAACCTGTGGGAAATGCTTCAGCCACAACAGCAGCTTAATTTCCCACATGAGGATCCACACAGGAGAGAAGTCATATCAGTGCACAACGTGTGGACGCTGCTTTAGCCACAGCACCACCCTGCTGCGTCACACCAGGAGCCACACAGGAGAACGGCCGTATTCCTGCGCCACCTGTGGGAAATGTTTTAACAGCAGCAGCCACCTTACTGTCCACATGACAACCCACACCCGGGAGAAGTTATATTCCTGCACCATGTGCAGCAAACGCTTCAGTCATGGCAGTAACCTAGTGCGGCACATGAGAACCCACACTGGCGAGCGGCCATACTCCTGCCAGACATGTGCCAAAAGGTTCAAAAGCAGCACTCATCTCTCCCGACACATGAAGACACATAGGAAAGGTTGTAATCCTGAAGTGGAAATTATCCTGGAAGATGGTAGCACACCAGTCAGTTAGAGTTATTGCTGCTCAAAGTGACTGGGGAATTGGCTACATTGATGGATCCCTACAACCATTTAGAGAAATGTTTGCTTATTTTCACAGACTATAAATAACAAAGTTCTAAACCTGATCACTAAACTTGACATGATTGTCTTTCTGAATGCAAAACTTCTACCCCCATAGATTTCCTCCTTTAGATCAAAGCAATGCGACACGCAGCATTTGTTCAGTCCTCATAGTTATTGAACGGGTTTTGAAAATGTACTTCTATTATAAACACTTCCTGCTAACTTATTTACTGCTGGTAATCCTCGGTTAATTCAGAAGTCACTGTATTTTGGACTTGTAGTCCATTTGGGTTTTATACACTTTTTGGCCAAAAGCATTTCTTGAACTCAAGTGTTTGTTTACTTTATTGGCATTAAGTTCTATAATGAATTTTAAAGAATTACCCTATTTACACTACCCTTGAAAAACCGTGCCGAGACCGGTCCGAGCTCAGTAAGTTCCAGAGGTGGGCTCGGCTCGGTTTTTTCCCTGGCTCTGTTCTCTGATAAAAGAGCGCATGAGCAGAACGCGTCATCTTCTTCTGGCTGCACATCACGATTCACACTTCATTCCAATAGTTGGCGGTAATACCCCTCCAGAAGTTGCGCGCTAACCAACACAAAACAGAAGAAGAACAACAACTATAAACACCTCTAAACATCCACGAATGGTTGCCGTCTTCGCCTGACCCTCCGCAAATAACGAAGTACAGCAATAATAATCAAGCATAACTTTCTGAATGTGACGGGCGCCGCCATTTTGATTTGCTTGATTCCCTCCTTCTTCTTCTTCGTCTTCTTCTTCTTGTGTTTTATGGCGGTTGGCAAACAACGTTAGGTGCATTACCGCCACCAACTGCTTGATTTCCTCCTTCAATACTGGCAGTAATACCGCAGATCGTCACTAGGAGTCGAGGAACCGAGATAGCGTGATGTGTAAACGGTCAGAACCGAGCTCGGCCTGGTTAACTGATCCGAGCTTGGACCGGTCTCGGCATGGATCGGTTTTTAAAGTGTAGTGCTAATGGGGTGTACATGTGCAAATAAGCTGGTGAAAGTGTAAAACAGATAAAAAATAAAGCAGTTGCAGTGGCCTTTGTGTATGTTGCATTTAGAGTTGCAGTAATCTGATGTTAATATCTGGTGCTATATTAATATTAAGTTTGGTTCTGCAGTATTGGGTCAGATCCCACAATGAAAGAAAAAATATAGCTCTAGTATAGGTGAACATGGATTCATGGGTTAGATCTATTAAGAGGTGTCAAAAATATCACTGTTTGTTACTCAATTAGAAATCCCACTTTTTAAAAATACTTTAGTAGAAGTTGGAGGATCAAATTAAGCACTTTCCCCGAGTAAAAGTGTAAATACCATTTTTAAAACTACTTAGAGTATAAAAGTAAAAGTAATGCAGAAAAAATGTTAAGGCCAGAAGCTTTACTGCTATACCCCATTAAAGGAACATTTTCTACACTTCTGGATGATAACTTCCTTAAGACTTTATTTTCCTAGTTTTATAACTAATGGTAACAGTGTCACATTTAACTTTACATCATCTGGAAACAGTTTTTATTTTGGCATGTGGTGAACAACAAGTTGGGGCAGCACCGAGTCCAACCACAAAGAAATTAATTAGATAAAAATTATTATTTTGATGTTTTTTTTTCTTCTCTTTTTTTTTTTAAATAGCAACAGGTGTAATGAAAATGAGCTTAAATTAAACAAAACTAACAAGTATATTTTTAAAATGTAAGGAGTAGAAAGTAGAGATAATTGCAAAAACAATTTAAGGAGTAGAAGTAAAAACTTGTCTAAAAAAAATTATTACTCCAGTAAAGTATAGATAGCCAAACTTTCTAGGTAAGTTAGGAAATAAAGAATTTGTACTGTGTTACTTGACACCTCCAGATCTATTCAGTCTATTTCTGTAAGAATTTAGGTTTTTTTAATCACTTGAACAGCAGGAACATTCCCCCTTTATAGGCATTTATTATTTGTTAATAAATGCCTATTTCATAACACTCTGTTTAAGTTGAGTTGCATTCACTGATTGCAGGAGGTTGATCTATGGGGTTTATCTATTAGCCCGTTTACACGACCCCTCTGAAACCGATCTACGCCGAGTTCAGACCGAGTTCGGATCAGTTAACTGTGCAGAGTTTAGTTCTAATGACCATTCACACATCACGCTAGCACAGTTATCTGCCTGCTATCGGTGGTCAACCATACTACTGCTCTCAAGGCGGGAACTACGCAAACAAAAATGGCGGCACTCATAACATTGAGGAAGGTATGCCTGGATAGCGTCCTCTGGCCAAATTTCAATGAGCCTCAGTCTCAGCATCATCCCAGGTTCTTTTGATGCCCTTTATTGTTAATAGGCTCAGAAAAGGCTGGTGTTGTGAACAGGTGAGGAGATCTGTAAATTGCAAAGGTTCAGGGTTAGGGTTAACCCAGGAAGCCCGCAAAATGAGTCAGCTGACAATAAATAGGAGATGACACAGTCTGCTAATGCGCTCTTTTTGTTATCTGAGAACTGAGCCACAACTTAACCGTGTCAAGCCCTACTGTTGAACTAGTACTAGCGAGGTTCTGTTGGGTCTGGTTCAGTTACCTTCCCTTTATACTCAACAGTTATCTTGGTTACCTTGATTGGACCGATTTTTGCACGATTTCAAAAGGCTACTGTAAATGGGCTTAATGCAAACCAATAGCAGTGAAGCGATCAGCTGTGAATTCCTCACGGAAAGCTTTCACCGCTTTTCTGTCACGGAATGGGGACGATTTTTCCTGACAAAAACCAAGTGCACGCATTTTATTTTTTAGAGCAGTATTTCCTCTACTTGCACTCAAAACTTTTAATTCCCACATTCAAGACTTCTGCTTTGTCTCAAATCTGTTCTCTTCTCCATCACATCTGTTTCTGCTCTCAGATCTAATGCTTCTTGCAGAGATATTTTCTCCTCTTATTTACTTCTGCAGTCTTATGGGAAAAGATAAAAATACAAAAAATGCACAGTAACATATTTACACTGGATTTTAAGTTATTGTCGGATTAAAACTAAACAGAAAGATTGATAGATAAATATAATATCCAGATATAATATGCAAAGACTGACACTTTCAAATTGATGTAAAGTGTGTTTTTTTGTATGTATTTTAAAGTGAAACAGAGGAGCCTTCCCTCTTGTTTCATGGTAATATTCAGTGCCTGGCGAAAGTATTCAGCCCCCTTGAACTTATCACCACATTTCAGGCTTTAAAGATAAAGATAAAAAATAGCAATTATTTGTGGAGAACCAAGAAGTAGAATGCAATCTAGAAGTGGAAGGAGATTTATTGGATGTTTTAAACATTTTTTTACCAAAAAAATGAAAGGAATAATATATAATAATATTATACATTATATTAATGAGTAATAATATTGACAAGGGCTTACGAAACAAAAAAAATGCCATATTATATTTTCCTTATTTTTTATAATCTCTAACTCCCCATCAGCTCTATGTAACTTTATGTAGCATTAAATGTAAAAAAAAGAAAAGAAAGAAAATCCTTTTATTGTCCCACAATGGAGAAATTCACTCTCTGCATTTAACCCATCCCCTTGGGGAGCAGTGGGCTGCCATTGTGCGTCGCCCAGGGAGCAGTGTGGGGTTAAGGGTCTTGCTCAGGGACCCAGTGTGGCAGTCTGTGGGGAACCAACCAGATACTTGCAACCTTCTCACAGCACAAGGCTACTGCTCTAACCACCAGGCCAACACTCCCCCTAGAGAAACCCTTTAAAGAGGAATGCTTTATCATTGGCAGAAGTAGGAAGGAGCTGGTTAAATATACTTCTACAATCTTTGAAGGGAATTAGATTTTTAGGAACATTTTCAGAAGAGTTATAACTTTATCAAATCAATTCAAACATAATTTATCAATACCAAAGGAACATCAAATTTTGCAGTAACTCAGCGTTTTCTTAACCAGGCGTTATAGATGTAGATAAAGAGGAGATATGTCTGGAAACCTCTCTTCAAATAGCCGCTCAGCATGGCATCATTCTCCCTCTGGTGAAAATGGGTCAGAGCCAAAGGCAGAACCCCAAATCAGGGAGGACCCCAGCTCCTGCGAGTCAGGGAGGACCCCGACTCCAGCGGGTCAGGGAGGACCCCGACTCCAGCGGGTCAGGGAGGACCCCGACTCCAGCGGGTCAGGGAGGACCCAGGCTCCTGCGAGTCAGGGAGGACCCCGGCTCTGGACCCTGGCTCCAGCGGGTCAGGGAGGACCCCAGCTCCCGCGGGTCAGGGAGGTCCCCGGCTCCGGACCCTGGCTCCAGCGGGTCAGGGAGGACCCCGGCTCCGGACCCTGGCTCCAGCGGGTCAGGGAGGACCCTGGCTCCCGTGGGTCAGGGAGGTCCCCGGCTCCGGACCCTGGCTCCAGGGGGTCAGGGAGGACCCCGGCTCCGGACCCTGGCTCCAGCGGGTCAGGGAGGACCCCGGCTCCCGCGGGTCAGTGAGGACCCCGGCTTCGGCTCCCGCGGGTCAGTGAGGACCCCGGCTCCCGCGGGTCGGGGAGCTCCTGTTCATAAATCCATGGTTCTTCAGCAGCATCGGGCATCTGCTCTGCTGTAATTCTTGCTGGGGATCTTGCAGCTGCAAGTTGATTTGTGATCCCTCTGCCTAAAATTGGTAAAGATTTTTTTCATTCCTGAACAAAACTGTCAGTTGTTATAAAATGATATACATACAAATATTACCACAACTTAGCTGGTATCCTATGGGCATTACAGGTCTGCACAGCTCTGCCAAGTCCCACCTGACTCATTGACAGGCCAGGATGGACACACTAAGGTCATCCTGCATATCAAGTAATCCAGACGGTGGATTAGGGCCTGTTTAAGGGGGCAGTTTATCCCATTATTGATATCTGGCAAATTATTTCCACTCACAGACAAAATTTTAGGAAAGTTAGCAAGGCAGGTTTATTTGTATAGTATTTATAATGTCCACAATTGCAAGTGCTTTACACCAAGCAAAGCATTAGTGTGATACAGAAAAAAAAACACTAATAAGTAAAACAATAAAAAGTAAAATAAAAAAAAGAGCAGGTGGGTCTTCAACATTGATGCAAATAAACCGTTTCAGCTGATCTGAATCTTTCCAGACATATAGAGCATAGAAGCTGAATGCAGAATTTCCAGGGGTGGTTCTGACTTGAAACTGATAAAAGACCCGATCCAGATTGACCTGAGCAATCTGGTGGCTTCATACCTGTCCACTCTTCATAATATGTCACCCATGCTAATATGAACATTTACATCTTAATTTAAATAATGTTGAAATCACATAAAAAATGTTTATGAATAGGATTAATTTAACTAACCTGGTGATGTAGTTCATTACATGGCTGGTGCACCTCTGACAATCTTTCCCACTCCAGTCTCACCTGCTCTAACTCCCACTGATTAAACGAATCCTGTCATGACTTTTCTTCTATAGCTTAGACCCCATCTGTCGAGATAAAAAAAGAATTCACTCAACAAGTCATATGACTTAAAACTAATAAAACATTTTACAACAGAAACACATAATTTATGTGAAAATAGAAATATATGTGTACATTTCACAGATCATAATCTATAACCATGACAACAATTAGGCAGAGTTTTGTGTTACCACATTAAAAGAAGAGGAAGAAAAGGGAAGGATGGACCTGCCTTCAGATGAAAGGTTAATCAAAGATGCAGAATCATTTGAATATTAAATATTCAAATAAAAAAAAATGCAACAAAATAATTCACACAGTGCCTATTTATTATGCATAATCTAGTTTCTAA